ATGCATCACAGTATTTTACACCATGACAAAAACCTCCTCACTGTTACTTCTGCTTTTTGAAACCAACCCACTAACTGTTAATAAACAATGAATTACTCTATTTTAAGAGTCTTATTTTCTCTCTTACCAATTCTTATTTTTCATTGAGGGACTCTCAATTCTGTTCACTATCTAACCTTCTATTACCACAGGACTTTGACATAATATATATTCTGTTGACGTTCTCCCCAGAGAGAACCCGGAGCCAAGCAGCAGCCATAAATGCTGATGCTTGGTATTTCTGTCAGACATGGGATGGCTCTGATATATAGACATAAATAAAATAGAAGCAAATATCTCCGTTGTGTGTGTTTTTAGGAACACCTCTTTATATCATATGTTGTTTTAAAAGAAGAATGTCAACACTGTGACTAAAAACTAAATGAGAGACTCTACAGATTTTATAAATAAATTCTAACCATTTGAAATCATTGCATTTTTTTTTTTTACTTTGACTTGTTTTGTTAATTTGTTGTTGTACTGTGCATTTAAAATATAGAGCAAGCTAAAAAGATAACGCTGCCCTCCTTGCATCTGTGTGTACTAGTTGGTAAATAGGCATGTAAAATGTATTATGTATTATTTTTAGATTTGATGAGGCAAATCTAAAAATAGACAGTAGTGCTTACCTTGTCAAATCTATAAGGTTACAGCTGTGTAAATGCTGACCCCAGCCCAGCAGCCAGACTCTAAACTTCAACAGGTAACAAAAGCAGTGATGAGCAGTCAGACTGCAGCCTGCTTTTCTACCTGTTCATGTTTCTAAAGTAGAATCACAGTGATGACTGCTGTGCTGATGGCTTTGAGTTCACACCTAAACACTAAGAGAAAAATCATGTGTGTCCTTCTTAGGATATGGATTTCTGTTGGTGCATGGGGCTGTAGCCTCAGGTGTATATTGTTCACTGGCAATTATGAGACAATGAATTTCAGGCCATTTCATGGAGAAATGCAAAAGTAATGTAACTAGTAGTGTAAAGAATTACTTTCTACTGGGAATAATTCAGTCATGTGCATTATTTGTGCCTTATCTTTAAGAATAGTAATGAGTAATGTATACAACATTACTTTTTTTGAGTAATAACCAAACAATGATCACAGCAAAGAGGGGAAATACCTCTAACAAGTTCAAATGTTTGACCACAAAGCGTGCAAATAATTTTCATGAATGTAATGTGTTTAATGTGCTTTTCAGTGATGTTGGTGACTCTAGAAGCAAAGCCAGTGAGAATTCAGTGAGACTCAATAAAGAATCGAATTTAAAAATAATATTGATAATCACTAAATCACTAAATTCTTATCAAGTCCCAT